TCAAAAATGCAAACTTTCGGTGTAAGAGGCTACTGTTAAATTGATCAAGTTTAAATTCTTGATCATCAGCCACTGTTCTTAATTAGTTTGTTCTTATGTTCGACCTAGCTAGGTTGTAATGACGATTTTTATTTTCTCTCTCGCACTTTCTTTTCTGTAATTCTTAATATATTGTTCAGCAAGAAAAGAGAAATTAGAAAGAAGAACTAACCCTACAAGACCAAGCAGGGATACACGAAGAAGTAGTGGAAAAGTAAACAATGGCGCTTGTATCCTGCAACAAGTAAAGAAAGAAAAATCAACACAGATTATATCCTCTACCAAGTTTTAGCCTCGTAAAAGCAACAACCAAAAATACAAAAAAGAAAAATAATAGTAATAGTGTTGAAATTTTACTTGTCTCTTCTATGGTAGAGAAATGAATAAGGAAGAAGAATAATAGAGCTAAGAGCGTTCGTGTAAACCACAAAAACAAAAGGGCTCATCCCTAATCTTGACATGGTTGTACTCGCCATAATTGTCAAGAAAATAGTGCAAATTTCTATTAAAACCATGGCTGTGCATGGCAAAATATCTTCTACTACAGCTTTTACACCCATATTATCTCTTCCTCTTTCTATCTCTGTATTAGCTAAGCTTGTAGCTCGTTTGGCTAATTTGTTTAATGTGTCTCCCATTTATGGAGAAAAGGCAATGAGAATTTTTCTATATACAAACAGCAGAAGTTAACCTTTCATGCAAAGGTTAAGCTACTTTTGAAGGGAACGAGCAACTCGAGTGACCCAAGAGGTGACACAACAATTAATATTAATACTATAGTCTCTATTCAAGCAACTCTTCTTATTTGTCCTACGTGGATTGTTTTCACGTAGGTAATATAACATTATGTTATTTATATTAATATATAATACTCCCACAAGGTTTATCTTTGTGGTTCAAATTAATCATGGCCCTACAAGATATTTTTTCGCAACTCCATTATTACACCTCACAATTCCAATATTATTCCAAATTACATAGCTTTTTTTCACCCAAGAATGAGACAATTTCAATGACACGATCGAACAAAGGATGATTGCCTTAATATTTTACTACACAAATATCTATGATTAATTTTATCCTTATAATCCATTTATCCTAATTTATCCAATGTCTTTTTTTTTTTGCAATAGTTAAAGAAGAGTTTCTCTGGGAAAGAGTCTTCATTTTTACTAAATAACTTCAAAGCTGTGCCTTTTGCGTAATGGGTTGGCGAACATCTAACTTTAGCCAGTGTTCAAATCCTCAATTTTTCTTTCATAGTTTTTTGTTGATTTCATGACCTATTTGTAATCCACTATTGATTTCTCTATCAGAAACTAATAATACTATAGTAACTTGGCTTTGGGTCAGTTTTTTTGTGGATAATGTCATCTTAAATTGTCGAACTATGTTTAAACAAATATTAGTGTATAAAAAAAGGTGGAAAAAATTTTAAATTATGAAGAATTGAAATATCTTAGCTTAAGTGGGTTCTAAAATACCTTTATATTATTTTAGTATCTAAATCATTTGTAAATAACAAATTTACTTCATATCCAATTTTACTCTGAGGATTCATTAAATTGCCAATAGGCACAAAAGGGTGAACAATTTGGGAAGGAGAACGATATATATTTTATTTTTAAAATTCTTTTTTTCTCTTCTGAAAACTGAAACTAACGTCAGTTAATTTGGGCCAGAGAGGTTATGTGCTTATTCTGCTAAAATCGAAACTTATAACATACAAAAAAGATAAAGATTACATCCTTCTCCATAAATCTATTTTAAGAAAATAGAGATGACACCAGTCACTCATACGAATCCAAGGTTAACATACTCATAACTGATTGGCTGGTTGTGATACTTTAAGGGGGTAGTTGATATAGCAAGTGATAAAGAAATTAGAAGAATTTAAGACATCAGCAATTCCAGTTTCGTTTGTGTTTAAATCATAGTACGTAAGCAATTGTTTTTTGGTTTGTTTTGCCACCGGGTATTTGGAATCTGTCTTAGAGCTCGATTAAATTCAAATTTGTGTTGAAAAATTTCATATTTAAGGATAAAGCGTTCCTTAATAATGACAACTTCAGACTTTAGACTGGAACTCGAGATCTTTAATTAAGAATAAATAAGTATTTATTACTCTACCATAACCCTTATGGATCACGCGTAATCAATTAAATGTGGAAGAAAAAGACTCGAAACTAATTATTATAGTAATACGTCATAAGAGGGGCGATCAGTGACCATGTTTTTGAATTGAAATGATAGGTGAACCCTTTTGTCATCTTTGGACCCAACTGCTCTTTTCATACTTGCCAAATGTTAGTTTGTCCAAACTAGGGTACAAACCGAACTGGAAAATCGTATCAAATCGAATAGTTAAATCAATTCGATTAAAAAACTCGACTAAGTTTGGTTTGATTTGGTTTGGTATTGAGTAAAAAAATCCGAACCAAATCGACTTATAAATATATAATTTTTATATATACTTTTAAGACTTTATATAGAATTTATTTACACAAATTCAAGAAATATTTGGGATTCACTTATGGGATGTAATATTTAATAGAATATGAAGTACTCTATTGTTATTAACCTTAAATAATTGTTATATGATCATTTTCTTGTCAAGTGTTACTGAAATACGTGAATCTCTTTGTTCTTCCATGCTCATATATCAAGATTTATTAAATTCTTATATCTTTAATATTTTGAATTTGAAGTGGTATTTCGATAATCTAAAATTAAATAGAACATATCATTAATTAGGTATCATATTGATTTTTATGTTTAATTATTAAATTCGTTAACCTTGAAAGTATAAATCAACGAAAAATTATTGTCAGGCGACTAAAAAAGTAACTATCATGTGTTATTAACAAAATTCTCCCATAAAAAATATTTTAATAGATCATATATTTGTCAATTTTTAAAATTTTTACTAAACATATATTTACTTATAAAAAAATTAACAAAGTAAGATTGAAATAATATTCATGTAACAAAAATAATCCGACAAAACCGAATCAATCCAAACCGATATAGTTGATTTGGTTTGGTTTAAATAAAAATCGAATCAACGCGGTCCATGTATACCCCTAGTCCAAACCTTATTTTAGGGGTTTCTTTAACGTAATTTAATTCTTTTTCTTTTTCTTTTTCCAGGGCGTATATTTGAAGCTATTTATTTTAATCTAATTGTTGGAATCATTTGTTTATGGCGACATGATCTTAACATCAGTAACAATAAGCAATCCTTTGTTCTTTTTTCTTATCCTTTTTATCATAGAAGAAACATACTATTGTGCGTCAATTCATATCCTTACAATGTTTTTATCGGGCTGTATGTTAAACAGATTATCCTCCACTTAACTATTGTTATTTCTTTTTCTTTTTAATTCGAACTGTTGCTAAGTCTTGACGTTGAAAACTATTGCTATATTAAGTACCTTATTACAAAAAAGTACCATATCGTCCTTCATTATTAAATTAAATAATTAAGTTCAACAAATATAAAAAACTCTGTATGTGTTTAATAGGCGTCATACTATTTATATATGCAGCCTTTCTTGTATACCTAAAGGCGTACTTTGGGCAACTGGAGTCAGTTTGAGACTTGAGAGTGCTGTTACATTTCATTTCAATTAATTAAGTAGGAAGTTGTCAGTGATCTCTTCCCGCAGCCGGCATTTGTAGCGATGCTGAATACCACTATTCGGTCTGATGAGGAATACAATTGGATTTACGACTTTAATCAAAGACTAATTTCGAGTTTACAAACTCTTATACTTGAATTCTGGATTCTACATTGAGATATCTAGGATATTAAGTGGTGATAAACCTTTAAAACACGTCTTCAGTGGATTTTTCAACTCCAAATATTATCTTCGATTCTTAATTAATGAGAAATATATTGTCTTTCCGATGCTACTTCAATTTCTCTTAGTGGTGTATTTTCTGAGTCCCATGTATCATACTACGCGATTGAAAAAATAATATTGCTTTCCATTATTATTTTTTGTTTGTCTCTTCAATGCTATTGAGAGTGCTTACAAAGTTTGACATTGAATGGACCTAATTGATTAATGTAGTCGCTAACAATAACGGGTAGAATTAGATCTCCCTTGAGTTGCTACTTGTCTCGAAAAATCTTGCTCTGATATCCCTTGTTGAATACATTTATGTTGACAACCAAAAACCAACTCCGTTCTTACAAACATTTACAGTTAATTTTTTCTTCTCTCATTCACTCAAGCTAGCATCCACATCTAGTGCTTCTCTTTCTTTTCATTTATTTCTTGACTTACACGCAACTCAAATAATCACTTTTGTTTAGCATTTAGTACGGAGTAGTCAAATTAATATATTGCTACATTTTTTGCCAACTACTTCCATGTATAATACTTCTAGAGTGAAGAATTCTCATGCTAGAGGTCTTTCACTTCTCTGAATATATACATGCTACATAGTAATAAATTTGCCCGTTGTGTGGTTATTATTACTGTTGTTATGTTTGCGGTTAATTACTTTCTGATGTTGACTTTTTTGTATTCCTCCTCTTTGGACAGTTAAGCTCTAATATTTCCCACAAGGTCCAACTTCGATAAAATCCAATCTTAGTTTTCTAATTCTTTTGGTTTGACTTCCAAGACTCAGTATCTCTGTCCAACATTTATAAGGGATGAACGTGCCTAAGCCATCTATCTATAAGGCTAAGTTAATTGAAAGGTCTATATTAGCTCCTGTCCCATTATTATTTTAATAGAACAAGTTCTTTTTTATATAATCCTAAGGATGAGACATGCTAACTTACTAAGGTATAACTTTAGCCCACGATATGGACAACCATAATATCAATGATATGTGCTTAATTGCTTGTTATGGTTATTATGATGAACCATATGAATGGGAATTATTTCACATTCAGAGCATTTTAGTTGAACTTTTTGAAATGAGAAAACTATATTCCACTTCTATAGCAAATAACACCATCCTTTGAATAGAATATCAATGCTGACCAGAATAACAATGTATTATATACACTGATAAAAGAGTGATACACCAAGTCATTACGGGGAACAATGCATTTTATAGGTTTATCTACTCTGCACTTACAGCAACAGCGAGCATTTTGTATGAATGTTCCAACAATTTTATACAAACTTCAGTAAAGGAGGACTTCCATCTGGTTGTGGCTTACATGTCTGCAACTTCCACAATATGCCCTGTCAACTTGCTTTGACTTCTTCCATTCTGCAGGCAGGCAATAACTTATAATCCCAGCATCAATCAAATAAGGAAAGTCATGCAAATAGATATATCTTTTTGATAACGTGCGTGGTGTCTGACTGTCTGTGTCTGTTTGTGCACATCTCAACTATTCCACCAAGTATCTGCTACCTCCTACTAGCATAGTCATGCAAATAGATGTTTATCGATAACAATAGATTTTTAATGAAACTTTACATGATTCTATTAGAAAGAAAATGACATGTCAGAACAAGTCATGGACATACTTTCATTGACATGAAAGAGAGGATACAGCCATCTAAAGTGCCTCCTCCTGCACAGAGGCGTCGAACATTTCACAATGACTTATTTAGCTTTCATTTCATACATAAAGAATGAAATATCTCATATATTCAGTCATGTATGACGTTGTAAAAGCCGATGCAAAGTCAGGCCAGAGCTTACAGTCGCACTGGCATCAATCAATTAAGCAAAGCCATGCAAATAGATCTTTAATCAAGAATGAAAGATTTTTAATGACACTTTACATGATGTTATTACAAAGAAAATGACGTGAGAACAAGTCAGGATCATACTACCATTGACATGAAAAGAGAGGGTACAACAATCTAAAGTGCCTCCTCCTGCACAGAGGCGCCGGACATTTGACAAAGAGTTATCTTTCTTTTTTATACATAAAGATTGAGATATCTTATATATTCAGTCATGTATGACTTTGTAAAATCGATAACAAAGTCAGGCTAGAGCATATAGTCAAACTGCCATCAACCAAATAAGCAGGCATGCAAATAGATCTTTATCGGGAACAAAAGACTTTTAATGACACATTACATACTGATATTAGAAAGAAAATGACATGTGAGAATAAGTCATGATCATACTTCCATTGACATGAAAAGATGGGACACAACCATCTAAAGTGCCTCCTCCTACACAAAGGCATCATGCATATTGCAATGAGTTATCTAATTTCTTTTAGAGGCAAGGAATGAGCTATCTTATACATACCGTCATACTTGACTTTGTAATAACTAATGCTGCTTTCAGTAACATGAGGAGACAAGCTCTATCAATTTTTTTTGAAAAAAAAACCTCTTATCAGTTCTTTGCTTCCATTCAGATTATTCAACATAAAATGTCAACGACAAGTGCATTTTGAAACATCAAATACAATGTTACGTCAATATATAGATTCAATTTTTAATATAAAATCCTCAAATGCACATATATATATCACACTATAACACACAATGTCAACTTCTTCAAACACTGAAAGAATAAATGTCTTCTGGTTTTATAGATAAAAAAATCTGTGGTGTTCTATCATTCATTTATTTATCAAAAAATGGTATGTTTCTCTTTTTCTTGTTCTTCTCAAGTCATGCAAAGCATCATTCTTATTATTAATTTAGTTCATAAGTTTCATCAAGATAAAATTATAATGAGCCGCATATGCTTTGAGATCATAATAGTCTGTCCACTAAAAATTGATACACCATTTCTCTTCCGAAATATATTATTCAGTCCTGCAGTAGTTTAATGTTCATTCTGTAAAGCACAGCTAGTTCTTTTACTTAATGCTCAATCCACCAACAGAACACATCCGTGACATAAAAGAAGATAAGGAGAGGATATATGTAGGTTGAAGAAAAAAGGTTTCAAAAGACCAACTGCGCTACAAAATCAAAGGTTATATTATATCCTAAAATGCATACTATTAAGATTATTGCAAGCCAATAACAAGTGCATTTGCAACAAACTACAATGTTTTCAATAATATCATAAAGTAATTCCTCAGGATGGTTGGCACATTGGACACCACAGGCTATCTATACCTTTTCTTCACGGTGAAGCAAATATGACCTTTTCTATCCAACTCATCTTTTTACATATAATCCTTAGGACCTGCTACATTTTATAATACTGAAAACGAGCCATCTAGCTTACGATATATACATTGAAGTCAATAGGTTTGTATCTGGAAGGGTTTACGCAGAAGAATTCAACATAGATTATGAGGATGAGATTGAATTATGGTGGACGTCAGCTCTAAATTGAAGAAATTCTCAATGGACTGGTTCAGCTGTAGCTTACATGTTGCAAGCTGCCAAAACTAAGACAGAGCTGTAGCGGATATACTAGGAAATGCCTATATATCACAAATTTGGAACTTTTAACTAGATTAGAACTGTCTCCAACTTTAGAGCATAAATTTTTTTCCCCCAATCTAGCCTGCTCCCCACTTAATCTGTCTTATCACCGCGGCCAACCACTTCTATACTTCCAACTCCCACATTGATCTCTGTGACAAAAGGCCTATCGGCATTTAAGTATTACTTTCTCACGTTGCATCCATGTCAAAATCTTATCTTCTAAATAAATATTATGTTAAAGCTTGATCTTATCGCTATCTTTTGAATACTAAGGAGAACCCCTTATAAATGGAAATTGGAGTGCCACAACATTGAATACCAAATTCATATTTGACAGCACCGATTTCTGAAATCGGAAGAGCATATAGGGATAATGAAGAGTTACCATATTAATCATTGGCATGCCAAGAACAGAGACGTAACAGAAGGGACAAATTCTTGCATTACACTTGCTCTTAGGAAACAAACTCTAAATAAAATCCTAAAACGTCTTATGGACGTACTTTTTTTAAAAAAAAGGATAGCAATTTTTCTTTCTGGGAAGGATCGACAGGTTCCACTTCCACATAATGTTTGATTCAAGGATGTCATACATGTGGGTCTATATATTGGCTATTATACTAGAATATTGGTGAGCAAAAGTTAAAAAGAGAGTACATTTTACAAATATTCCCTTGTTTTGTTGTTATAATTCTTGAGATTTATACTCTATCCAAGGGTCTGAGCCTTACTAGGATGTGACGGCTCTGTCTACATCCTTATTCCAAAGAAAACATAAGCAGAAGGAGCATGAGTCAGAATTGTCCAAACCGCACCCCATCCAGCCCAAAATAATCATTTTCAGTCTCCTGAAGCTTCATAACTAAGTCGTATGGACTAAATACATAATGTTCTTGGACTTGGAATAAGCTACAAAGACCTAGGAGATTTAGGTATGTATACATTTAAATCATCTTTTATAGTGAAGCAGACTGCTCTAAGAGACTTTGCTAGAGTATCTCTTGATATAGTTATACACAACGGATACACAAAAAACATATTCCCTGTTTGCTTTAAAAAGTTAGATGCTAAAAAAATGGATGTACCAATAATATATGCTTTTATCTTGTGCTTAAACTTCTGTCTCTGCGTCCTTTATTTGCAAGAGCGGGGCCTTTGAATTGATATTTCTTGACAGATGGTCTTCATCTACCTTCTTTTCTTGTGTTTTTCCCCACATCACAGCATAGAAGCCAACGACAATTACAATTGACCCCACCAAGCTGTAACAAAAGTGATGATTAGGCACATGTAGTCCATTTTGCCAACACTTCTATAGATTTGTATGGTTGTCAAAGAAATATGACAATACCTTCCAAGGTAGAAAATATCTCCTAAGAAGATGATACCCAATGCAGCAGCAATTACAATCCCCAGAGGATGGAACATAGCAACAAAGAGAGGTCCCCTTCTACGAACGCACCAAAACATTACACTGACTTGAAATGCAGAGCCAAAAACTCCCTAAGAAAAGCAAAATACATGTCAGCTGGTTGAGATATGCTGAAGAAGGGTCAGATGGTTGAGATATGCTGTAGAAGGAAACTGATGTACTCGATGCCGATCAAATAAGAAACCATAAATTCATTATTTTCAATTGACAAAGCTCAAAAGATTTATAATTGTCTTGTAATTAGGCTTCTTCTAAGATGCACAAGTTAACGTATTCTCAAAGGAACCACTGGGAATAAAGTGTAATAGCTGGATAGAAGAAGACGGAAGCTAAACCACCATAATTGGACAACTGTTAGGCCAGGGTAATTTGAATAATTTCTTGAACACAAGATAAACCAAATTCAAAGCTAATATCACTCCTTAGCAGGTTTTAGCACATCAATAGAAGTTATGTAAGCCTATGTCTTGTTTTACTAAGTGATTATGAGGACAGTTTTGATTTGTCTTGGTTTAGTAGTCTTTGGAAGTAATTGTTCTTAAATAGCAATGCACTTAGTTGTAATTTAAAATATCATTAGCAAGCTGGTAGAGAAAGTAAGTAAGAGAATTCAATATACTAATGATGTAGAAAAAACTGTTCTAATTACCACTAAAGATTCCCAAATCACTGTTCAGTGTATTTTGAAAGGGAAATGGGCACCAAGCCCATGAAAGGTTTGCCTGTTAAGAAGACATGATATGTCAAGACATTTCCACAGTTAAAGCAATTTGTTGCCGAAAATTTTAGCTAACCATATGAAGGCAGTACGTGAATCTTTCAATTTTATGCGGATCCCATGAATAAAGAAACTCTTCAGAAATTAGAAATATCTATTATTCATTTACCACTTTGCCAATATCTTCTTCTCCTTCTCACTTTCGTATCACTAATTTACAGCACATACTTTCCAACCTGAACACCTTTGTCACAGCCACTAAATTCAGTGTGCAAACATATATTATTGGTCCAGCTTATCCCTCTCAACCTTTCATTTGTTTTAACTTTTTGAGATTCATATTTTAGAACAAACTCCTTGTCCAGTTTAGTACCGAAATTGATCCTACCTTAGCAAAACGCACTAACTTAGATTAACTAAGAGTAGGGGAAAAAAAACTGTATCCTTAGGTTGCAATTGGGAAAGTTTAGTCTACTAGGAACAAACTGAGCAAGGTAGAGGAAAATGTACTAGCTTGAATTTAATTCTGATGCTAAGCAGGCAGAAAGATAGAATCAGATTAAGTAAATTCATACCATTCACAATTCAACATGAATCATTTATTTATTGAAGTACCCATACAGAGCCTGACGTCAACTTCGTCGATAATTATCTTAGTATGGTCACAATATGAACAAATCCTATAATGTAAAATGCACACATTTTACCTACTTACTGAGTATAGAACAGCGAACAATCTCGTACCAGGTTGTAGCATCCAAGCATTTAAGTCCATGTCCATAAATAGAGAGACTATTGCTGATAGAATGGAGGAAAAGAAGCAGTAAAAGAAGACCACAATCAGCTCAACTGGATAACTTTTAAGGACGGAAGCCTGTAAAAAGCATAAATATATCAGTTCTAGCACCGATTCTCAACTAACAAAGGTGTGACTTTCAATGAGCTATTCTCACACCTGTACAATTAGATATGCTGAAACCGCTATGCAATCCACTACAAGATATAGTCCTCCAATCACCCAGTCAGTTTCCTGAAAATGAAGATAATTTTGAGGCTTCAAAGATGAGGAAGTCAACAAAATTTGTGGTCCCTTGTAAAGAGTGGCGGTGAAGGCTCCGGCAATTGAGACGACGGTTCCAACAGATTTAATCAGGGTACTTGTACTTCGGCAATCTAATTTCTCCATCCTGATAGAAAGCAAAGATGTATATTTGTTATTCGTTACTGTCTCTTGTGATCGAACAGATCTATAGTATCCATTTGCATTAATGAAGCTTACAAAGAGAGTAGACTTCACTGAATGCTTCTTTAGCAGGTTTATCAAAATGATATGACCTACTAATGTGTGTGCTTGCAGGTGTTATATATGCATGTGTATGTGCTCCATTTTTACTTCATATTTTCTTCTAAATCTTCATAACCAAATGGCAGATGAGAAAGAATTTGAAACACAACATCCCCAACAAAGAATATTGAGGTATTTTTGTATAATTCACTTTTTCCAGTTCAATAAACATTTTTTAGTTTATAGATAGCTAAACTCATGGTACTGTACAATATTCTGTTTTCTTTCCATCATTTTATTCTTCCTTCCATGGTTCCTTAATTTCCCGAGAATCATTACATTGTTTCTGTTTACACATGTTCTTTAATTGAATGGGAATGAGCATTCAGTTGAATTAGAAAACAATTATACTGACTATCGAAAACGAAGAAATTGTGATGAAAACAAACATATTACTGAAAACATAAGTATACCAAGTAGAAAATTCCAAATTACGGACACTTCAGTTCGGAGGAAACAATATACTAATCTGTTTTCTCATAAGCTAGAAAGTGAATAAACTAGCTTGCTTAATACTCCCTCCATTCCATTTTATATGACACTCATTCTTTTTAGACTTTTCCAGAGAGAAGATGATCATTTCCATATTTGGTAATTTTTCACTTTAAATTTCTCATTTTACCCTTAAAGACATGCTCTTAGCTATAGAAATGTCATGATATAGTTAAGAGCACAAGTTCGTGCGCGTCTTTCTTTCTTTTTAAAACTAAGTGCCCAATCAAACATGATCATATAAAATGAAGCGAAGTGATATTAGCGTTCATTCTACTCTAAAATCAACTAGAACAAAAGTGAGAAGAGGGTAGAAACCTGAAAATGACGGCAAGTATGAAAGTAAAACCTGGGATGAGATTGAGCATAGCTGAGGCAAATGAAGCAGAAGTATAATTAATCCCAGCATACCCTGTTAGCTGAGCTGAACAACTACACAAAATCATGAAAAACCCATAACCCAAAAATTAGACCTTTACCAATTGCTAATTCAAGAAACAGCTAATTGAAAGATGAGAATCACATACCCAAGAACTCCTAGCAAGAAAAATCCACATATAAGTGAGAAATTGAGTGGAGAACGAATTGACCTATAGAAGAAGAAAGAAGGGAGGAGAATAAGAGAGGCAAGAGCATTGGAGTAGAAGACGAAAGTGAAGTTGGTCATTCCAGTTGACATAGCTTTTTTGCCTACAATCATTAGACCGACTTGTGCAAATTGTGTTGAAACCATTCCTATGTATGGCAAAGCTTCCTTCATCTTCATCTTCATCTTCATCTTCATCTCCATCGCCATTTTTCAGTGTCTCTTGTTCGCTGACCTGAACTTGGACTTTATTCAGTACACTTCCAAAATCCAACATGTGATTCTAGGAAAACTGTTGTATAGTGGGTCCCAAAATCACCCCAAAAAACTAAAAAAATATATTTGTGGAAATATCAACCTCCAAATCATATTTTATCAATTATATTTTTTACATCAAGATATAAAATTTATCTTAAATGTCGCCCTATCAATAGCCTTCGCCAGCGCTCGGTCGCACGCAGATGCCAATAGTGCCCTTCGGCAGGCTACACCCCAACGCGTGCCCGTTGTCAGCACAATCGACCCATGCATTGCGGCCAGCACCGCACGCGCAAACCATGATACTAAAGACATGGTTGCCGCCCACGGACTTACTTTTACCTTGTAGGAATCTAAGTCCTTTTTAAAAAAAATATAGAGTAGTTTTACTTCCTGTATTTCCATTATGATTCTCTAGCTTATTTATGTCAAGTCTTATAACTTTGGTTTATTGTTTTAAGCATTATTAGGTGGATGAAGTAGCCAAACTTTCAAGCAAGCAAACAATTCTCTGTATTAGTGTTTCTTCCCCTCGACACTGTGTTGCCTTTCTGTAATAGCTTTCATTAATGCAATCAAGCTTTCTTTCATGCTCATTCACTTTTTTTTCTCAATTGCTCTTGACATCGATTTTTTCGTACATCACTGACAATCTCGTCTAGTGTACGGAGGGGACCCCAGTTGGCGGATAGTAACTGCACAGACATCGGTTGCTTAGCCTTACGTCTCCATTCCAAGACATCTCAGGAAGGCGCCGCGTAACAGTTGGTACCAGAGCCTAGTCTCAATATTGGACGAGGGAACAAATTGCCATTACCCCTATTTCTGACCATAGTGGATCATGGGGACTGCATTGAGGCTCTTGAAGAGACGGTTAACATATTACGACCCATCGCGAATACAATGCATGATCTAAGAATCAGCCTAGTGCAAAGATTAGACGAACTGGACCGCAGGATGCGGCAGGCCGAAGGAGACATTGCAATCATCAATCGCGACTCTGAAGAAGACTGGCAAACGGTAGCCACAGAGGCAGCCGGAATTTTAGTAAATTCGAGGGGCTCCAACAGGAGCGGACCGAGGATTTAGCCCATATGGCATAAGAGGCATACAGGGTGACTGTCATGCAGCAAATCATAGATAACTTGACGGTTCAGCTCTATATTGTCAATGTTGTGTTACAAGGCCTATTTCGAGGAACCAAAAACCACATCTCGGGTGCTGTGAACCTCACCCATATGCCACAAAAAATCAATATCCCTGAATCGAAGCCCTACAATGGGGCTCGAAATGCCAAAGAAGTGGAGAACTTCATATTTGACATCGAACATTACTTCGATGTTATGGGGGAGCTAGAAGAAGAAAAGAAGGTAGCAACGGCTACCATGTATCTTAAGGGTGACGCTAAACTTTGGTGGCGGTTGAAATAAGAAGCTACCAGGGCTGGTGAAGATACTCTTGAGATATGGGGAGACCTGAAGGAAGCCATATGCTTACAATCCTTCCTTGAAAATGTTGAGTACAATGCACTGAGAAAACTCTGAGAGCTCCGCTAGACCAAGTCAGTCCGAGATTACGTGCGTGAATTCTCCACACTTATCATGAACATACGGGATATGGGGGACAAAGACAAACTCTTCTCATTCCTAGAAGGTTTGAAACATTATGCTCGTATGGAGATACAAAGACAAAGGGTAGATACTTTACCTAAGGCGTCGAAACTGCGAAATGCCTTGGGGACTACCAAATGAAAGCTCGGAAGGATAGGCCTCAACAACCTGTCTGGGGAGGATACAAAAGGGGTCAGCCTAGCAATGGTGGCCCTAGCAGAAGTGGAGGAGATTGGTGCAACCAAATCTAAGCCTCCCACGACAATGATCAAGGGAGGAAGCCCCCTTAAGGATGTTGTCATTGCAGCGGGCCGCATTGGAACAATGAATGCCCACATGCATAAATGAACGCCCATCAAACTTTTGATGATGGGACGGATGACGATGCTGACCAGACAGAACCAATAGGTGCCTTCAATGCATTTGTTTGTTCTATTTGTGAGGCCTTAGCGGGAACTAGTGCCGGTATCTGTAAGAAGAAGGACCCATGCACAGCCACTAAGAAAAGGAAAACAAAGGCGGATGAGTAGCCTCCTCTTAACCAGGACAAGACCCTAATGTTCGTCGAAATGAAAGTTCATGGCAAGCCCATTCGGGCGATAATAGGCACGGGCGCTACTCACAATTACCTAGCCTCAACTCAGGTAGATCGCCTTGGTCTAGTCATAGGAAAGGGCAGAGGCCATGTCAAGTCTATCAACTCACCACCTCAGCCAGTGAGTGGAATAGCCAAAAGAGTGTCGGTGAAGCTGGGTCCTTACGAAGGAAAATTCAACTTGCGTGTAGTGATTATAGATGTCTTAGACCTGATAGTTGGATTGGAATTCATGAGGCAAACCAACACCATTCATGTACCTTGTGCACACATGCTACTGATGATGGGAGTAAACGGGGCCAAGCCCTGCATTATCCCATGCACAACCATAAAGATAACAACAGGGAACATCTCAGCCCTACAGTTAAAGAAGGGAGTCAAAAGACATGAACTTACGTTCCTAGCTACCCAGTGTATTAAAGATATTGAATGCTCTCCGGGTCTCATTCATGCACCCGTGAAGGAGCTGCTAAAGGAGTTTTAAGATGCCATGCCATAGGACATGCCAAAGAGGCTCCTGCTTAGGCAAACTATGGACAATGCGATTGAGTTGGTGCCGGGTGCAAAGCCACCCACCCGGGCGACTTACATAATGTCACAACTCGAACTCACTAAGCTTTAGAGACAGTTGACGGAGATGCTGGACACGGGGATCATTGTGCCCTCCAAGTCCCCTTATGGGTCCCCAATCCTGTCTAAAAGAAACTGTTACACCATGTGCGTCCCAAGATGACGTAATGAATATGAGACTTATTAATTATCATTTAAATAATTTTAAAGTCATAATATGGCTATATATGATGTTTGAATAGAAAATATGAAGTTTGGAAAAAATCAGATTAAAGTTGCGGAAAAATCGACTCACGATTTGCCCTGTAACAGAGCTTTTTGAGAAATATATTTCATATGCTATATGAGTTATTTTTGGGACATATTATATACCAGATTGAAGGTCTTGGAATGTAATTTCCAGATCTCTTAACCGTTCTTTCATACGACATTCGGATAAAAAGATATAAGCGTCGGAAGATGGGCGAGTGAGAGGGTGCCAAGCTAGCACCTCTTTGACTTTTCAAAAGTTGATATATATGTCTTAATTCGTCTCTCTCTTCATTTTCACATATAAACCAACCATATAACACCATAGAACCTGTCCTTGAGCTCTCTAATAGTGTTTCAAAGAATACTAACATCCCGGGTACGAAATCGAGAAGCGATCACATCAGAACGATCCCTACGACGTAAGTATCGCTATATTGAGTTTTGGAATGTATTTAATAGTTACTAAAATTCCTAATTTCTGTATTTAAGCTTTAAAATATCAAGGAAGGTTGATAAATTCTTTTTCTAATATTCAGAACTCATAGGACGGTGATCGGAAGTCGTGAGTTTGATTTATTTCACTTTTAGTGGATTGTTTTGTAGTCCACTCATGTTGGATTATTGTGCTGATGATTTATAGAGTTTGGAAGGATTAAGGGCGTGGAGAAATGCCACATATGGTAGGGTAGTAGGCTGGTCGCTCGTTGTTGCAATTTCAGGTTAATTGATAACTTATTGATTGGGTATGTTATGGTATATTTGGGGGTTTTTGTTGTATTGAAGGTCCCGAATTGTAGTTGGGTTATTTTTGAGTTGTTTATTGTACTGTGTTTGTATCTCTCCTATAGTAGGCTTGAGGGAGTAGTGAAATCAGGGAAAATGCTGCCCGTTTTATTTTAGAATCGAGTTATCATTTAAGATACGTGATATACCACCGCCATCTAAGTTGTACACGCATTTCTTTGTTATAGGGTTGGTGTGCTAGTTGTCGTAAGCTTGTTGTTGAGTTGCATTGACGACTTGAGGTATGTTAAGGCTATCCCTTCTTTATTTTTGGCATGATCCAAATGATACAAACGAAACGAGCAAAATATGCAAATTTCATAAATGACTCTATTCATAGAAATACTAGGGGTGTCTATATTCTTGATTCCCCATGCGAATTATTATTATATCCTCTGTTCATGGGTCTTAGAAAAATATGTATTTGATAAAGTTTGTCCGAAAGGCAGAGAAATCTTATTAACGTATTTCTTATGCATTTCATGCATTTACACATGTACATTGAACCATGACCAGAAAGCGTTATATACGCGTATATTATATGTATATGGGATATGGGAAAAGGTTACGGTGTTATATACGCACCAACACCTGATCAGCTGGTATACGTTGATGATTTTGCCCACAGTGGCTGAGATGATATGATGGGATGCCCTCAGAGGCTTGATGATGTTATGTACGCATATACTTATGCATGGTATGTCATTTATACACACGTGCATGACATTATAAATATTTTCATGATTCACAGAGCTATTCAGACTTACAGGTTGAGTTCCTTACTCCATGTTTCTTTCATGCCTTACATACTCGGTACTTTATTTGTACTGTATGAAAGAACGGTTAAGAGATTTGGAAACTACATTTCAATACCTTTAATTTGGTATATAATATGTCCCAAAAAGACCTCATATAGCACACGAAATATATTTCTCAAAAAGCTGTGTTACAGGGCAAATCCTTAGTCGGGTTTTCCGCAACTTTAATCCGATTTTTTACAAACTTCATATTTTCTATCCAAACATAATATATATCCATATTATGACTTTAAAATTATTTAAATAATAATTAATAAGTCTCATATTCATTACGTCACCTTGGAATGCACAGGGTGTAACAGTTTCTTTTAGAACAGGATAGGGGACCCATAAGGGGATCGTTCTGATGTTATCGCTTCTGGATTTCGTACCCGGG